ATTTGGCTATAATTTTATACAAAATTAAACTGTGTGTAAATCACTCAGCAGCGGATGCTTCCGTTATAGTCAGCTCAGCGTGATGCCATAGTTCAGTCCGATTGCTTTCACTGTGCCTATTTTTCTCATTTAAAGTGGCTGACATTCTAGTTTTTTACACTTTCGTACACCAATCAACCTTTTAATCCATGACTCATCACCAAACAGATATCTGCTGGGTTCGATATCTAAAAGATCCAGATATCGATACTTGTACCTCAAATTTTATTCACCTCAAGCGACATCTATTGCCTATAACCCTACAAGAGTTTGAGTTTAGAAAGTGCTCCCTAAAAGGACACCTTGTGTCACAAAGACGCTGGAGCAGTTCTTAGCGTTGTCGATCTGAAAAGAATTCAAGAGTTTCTCTTGCAAACGCTCTCATTCTCTTTAACTTTATAGCTTGTAGTGTAGATTAATACGATTAATCAACAAAAGAAGTTGTTTTTTCTGTATCAGTATATACGTCTTGTGTTATCTGTCCTGACCGATAGAATTAATTGCATTTTATCGAAGGCGTACTGCACAAAACTGTCACAACTAAATTATTACTGCCATACTAACAAACTTGAAATGAACTTCAAATACACATACTGTTCTTCCCAACTCTTTTGAGATCCTGTCCTGTCATTAATGTGTTATCGCTTTTGGCCGGCTTCATATATATCAGCATATATTCCATAACGTAGTCACAGTGGGTTGTCAATAACACCATATCGAAACATGTCCTCTATTGTACATCTATACATTCCCAGAGAATTAAAGGATTGAGCAAAAAATATTTAATACTGTCCGTCCATTAAAAAATCAAAGACGATTGTTCCGAAACTATTTGTCGCTTATATCGTCGACCCTGTCATATAAATAAAAAACCTTATCGTACAGATCACATTTTATAATATGGATCTTAACATTATTTTGTATCGCATCCAGGAACCACACTTTCTTTGCTGTACATGGGATTGATTAAGCGCTTATAAGTTTTGATGTAGCATTCAAATTAATGCCCTCAACATTAGATAATATACCCATTTTATTTTGATGAAATTTGAGCACTAACAGTGTGACTTGGACTCCCATACTTGGACCAAAGCAAGACGTTTAATTGAAAAAAAATGTAGATAGTCTATTGGCACGGTGATTTATTAATTTGCAAAATAAATGGTAGGTACCAAGCCGCATTTTAAGGTATGGATGGTGCGTCGGGGGAGGGGGGGCTGACAGTGTCTGTCACCATTTAGAACTAATTTTCCTCGATGTTCTCTTTTACAAACAGTGAATGCATGAATAGAGCATGGCTACTAAAATTGGAGTCTCAACCTTCCTATGCTTTCACTTCGCTATGTACCGCATTATTTTCAAGCACAAAGCATAAAGGATCGATGCGTTTCCGATCAGATCCATAGTCGCTGCCCAGTAGGCAACATCATATTTCTTCATCCAAATCTTGGTCTGAAAAAGGTGTGGAAAGTAAATGCCAGTTGTTTCTAAACTTTATAGCCCCTTGTAAATTTGTCTGGAACTGATTATATGCAAAGGTAGACTTTTTATTTGTATACAGGCGCATGCCACCAAAAAATTGTAAGTTTAGAGTCGGGCTGCACGTTCCCCAGTCAGTTTGCAACAAGTTTTTACTACTACGCTGTGGCGTACTAACAGTTGCCACCGCGAGAGTCCTCTAATGGAGGTGGAGGAGGAGGGAAGACGCTCTCCACACAGTCGTGGGGAAGCGTGTGTTCCCTAGAGCTTCTTTGATCGCGTAACGCAAGGGTTACGCGACGATCTCAAACATGAGGGGGACAGGCGTCTCCAAATGGCGGACACTGTCTCGAAGCATCGAGCTGAGTTTGCCTTTGCTCAGCCTGAGAACGAGAGATCTCTGACATCTCTTCGTGACGAGCTAAGGGTAGCTCGTGGGATTGTTGATCGGTCTCGGGATGAGATAACTGCTCTTCAGACCCTTGTCGATGCCCACCATCGGGAGCACAAGGCTCTCTGCGAGATGCTTGAGCGCAAGGGCGTTCTTCATCGGAAGAAGCAGCGTCCTGATGGTATGGCTTAAGCCGACCAACGTAAAACGTGGGATGCGTTCGCATCTTACGTGGCAACTCGATCGTGTATGCATTGCCTAGGCTGTGCAATGCACGAAATGGGCCGATGTACTTGGGTAGTAGTTTACTGCTACCCAAGTTAGTCACTACATGCTTTGGTAGATTAACCGTAGACAGTAGGACTAAGTCACCTTTATTGAATAAAAGAGTGTTTGCCCTTCCATTCTTGTCAGCGTTTTGCTTTTGCTTATCCACCGCTTCGGCGATGGAATCTTGCACAAAACGGACTACCGTTTTACGAGCCAGTATGAACTCATCTGATGAATCGTTAGCTTCAGTGCGCTGTGAGTGCACTGCAGCAACATCAATCTTTTCTTCAGTGAGGGCTTTCACGCTCTCACTGGCATCATCTTCTGCAATATCGATGTTATCGATGTCGGCATCAAACGCAATGACCTCTTCGTCAGAGCGTGATGAGCGTGAACCGAATCGGTTTTTGCTCGCGCGAGTCCCTCCCCCTTAAACCAGAGTTACACTTTAATAAGGTGGGTACACGCGGATGGCGCAAGCCATTCACGTAAAATGGTGTATGTGTCGTGGACGCATGCACCGAGTTGTTAATGGCAAACTCTGCCATTGGCAAAAACTCACTCCAACTCTTAAAGGAGTGTACGTATCCTCGAAGGATCTCTTCAAGGACACGATTGGCACGTTCCGTCTGACCATCGGACTCTGGATGATCAGATGTCGACATCTTCAAGCGCGTTCCGAGTGATTTGAACACGGAACGCCAGAAATCAGCAGTAAATCGTGGATCTCAGTCTGAAACGAGTACACGGGGCAACCCATGAAGTCGGAAGATGGTGTCAATAAAGACACAAGCACGGCCACTTGCCGTGATTGTCTCGGGTACAGCCACAAGGTGTACCATTTTGCTGAATCTGTCAACAAATACGAGAATACCCGTATTCCCGCGTGCGTCTTTGGGTAACCCGAAGACAAAATCCATTGAGATGGATTCCCAGCACTCTGCCGGAACTGCTAGAGGCTGTAAAGGTGCACGCATTGAAAGACTTGACTTCACTCGTTGACAGACTTCGCATGCGCGAACATACTTTCGCACAAACTGATACTGGCGGGGCCAGTAAAAGTCTCGACTCACCGTGAGATATGTTTTCTCCCGGCCACGATGTCCTCCAATAGGAGCATCGTGATGCTTGAACATGATCCGCAAACGCAGATCAGTATCATCTGGAATGACAACACGTGGTGTGTCACCAGTAACGGCTGTATAATACAGTAAACCGTCGCAAGTAGTGTATCGATCTGATGCAGATCGATACGCAGACGATAATCGTTTCAACGATTCTCGAGATGGCTGTGAGAGATGTGTCAACAACTTCACTATCTCACCATCTTGGGCGTATGCCCGCCTCACATCATCATGCAACGTTGAAGATGGCACTGAGGACGTCATAACCGCAACAGTGACTGTCTCACTGTTGGGCTTCACGACTGGTTCAAAGTCGGGACGACGTGAGAGTGCATCAGCGACGACATTAAGTCGTCCTGGTTTGTACTCGACCGTAAAGTTGTATTCTGCAAAGAATGACAACCACCGCGCCATTCGTTGTGAAAGGTGCGGGCTGTTCACTGCCGTGCGTAATGACGCATGGTCAGTGTAAACAATGAAGGGTCTATCTCCTAATAGATAGACTCTGAACTTCGCGAGTGCATACTTCATGGCAAGGAGTTCCTTGTCATGCACTGGATAGCTCCGCTCAGATGGTTGCAGCTGACGCGACTGATAGCAGACGACGCGTTCAACGCCTTCTAGATCGTACTGCATTAATGCACAGCCGATTGCGAAATCGCTGGACGACGTGAGAGTGCATCAGCGACGACATTAAGTAGTCCTGGTTTGTACTCGACCGTAAAGTTATATTCTGCAAAGAATGACAACCACCGCGCCATTCGTTGTGAAAGGTGCGGGCTGTTCACTGCCGTGCGTAACGACGCATGGTCAGTGTAAACAATGAAGGGTCTTTCTCCTAATAGATAGACTTTGAACTTCGCGAGTGCACACTGCCTCCATGGGCTCTCTATCTTACAGATGTGTCACTAGGGTCAAGACGTTCATGTTGTAACAAAGCGCTACTGTCCAAAGCAATCTCCGAATGGATCTCGTTGTGAGGCAACCGTTGCTGGCAATGACACGACAACTGTGAGACTTGAACTCACGTGTCAGTCACAACTAACTTGTACACGGTGAAATCGAACCCGCACTCACCCGCACTCACCCGCGTGGATTCCCCTTTCCCAAACGACTGAGCCAATCCGATGACTTGTCGTACCACAAGTGAGGCCATCGCACTCACTCGTAGTACATCCACACCCTTGTGGACTTTTTAAAAACGTTCATCAGATGGCCATCTGACGAACAAGCGGCAGGCATCGTTACTGTCCGATGTTGCCAGTTTACCCGCGGTCCGTACCTTCTGAGCCACGGTATTCCAAGGATGACATCAAATTTGTCATCCAAATCCAATACGATAAAGTCATCGTCATATTGGGTATCTTCTAGCTTGTAGTGGATCTTCACTATACGCTTCATGACGGTTACGGATGCGCCTATCGCAAGACGTACCGTCATCCTCGTAGGAGGTGTGTTACAATCACTGAACTTAAAGTGATCATCTTCTAGCGATTGGCGTTTCACAAAATTGTTGGACGCCCCACAATCGACTAGAGCTCGAAGGGACAACTTATTCATCACTTCGAGTTTCAAGGTAATGATTGAGATCTCATTACCTAGAGCAGCAACGCACAACGTTTGTGTGTTGGGAGCAACCTTCATCAAGAGGCCTACAAATTCTCTTGACGTTGCTGGACCAGTAGGGTGCTCCGCACCTACTGATCCTGTCCGTTTTTTGACGGTCCATCCCGTTGTTGCGTCTTTGCACTAACAGCGGACCCTCGTCCCTGCCCCTTTCTCATGGGTGGACGGTCACTACGCCCAGTGTTGCGAGACACTGGACGAGGGGCACTACACTCGTAAGCGTAGTGTCCTGTCTTTTGACATATGTTGCATTTCTGCAACTTCTTGTAGTCTGTAGAGTGAGCCTTCTCGCTCTCTACATGACAAAGTTCCATCGGCTCTGGACCTCCGCTGTCGTATCGTCTCGGTTGACGATATGATGTCGAGCTGGTGCGAGCCTGTCTCAGACTGAAGTCTTCCTGTTCCGCAATGGAAATGGCTTGTTCTAGTGAATCTAGTTCAAGACGGAACAGGTGAGTCTTGACGGGACCATCCGCAAGACCCTGCATGAACACCGAAACCAACGTGTGTTCATCAACCGGGTTGGAACTTATACGACTCGTGAGATGTCTTATATGTTGCGCGTAAGCGTGCACATCACGCTTACCCTGCTTGAGCTTCAAGAGTTCAGTTCGAGCTCTGAACTCAGCTCTAGGCGGTTCAAACGTTTGTCTGAGCCGCGACTTGAAGACTTCCAACGACCCAAACGCATATGGGTCGTGCAATTGAGGCCCAGTGCCCAAGTCTTGGCACGTCCTGCCAGATTTGACTGGGCAAATGCAACTTGCATATCCCCGTCGTCGATGCGACGCGCCCTTATGGCGTCATCCAATTCGACGAACCATCTCAAGAGGGAGTCCTCTTCAACTCCCCTATACTTGGAGATGTCAATCTTCAAGGTCTCAAGTCGACGCGAGTGCATCGACTCACCAGCAGCAGCCTGCTGCTGTCTCAACAGATCAAACAGTTGAGCACCCTGTTCTCTCAACAACTCTGCTTGTTGAGAACCTTGTTGGTGAATCAAGGCTACTTTCTCGCGTTCTGCGTCAAGTTCATTTTGAATGAACTTGGCGACAGTAGCATGTTGGGCATCTCTATTGAGAGCCTCTAGCATGACGCTAACAGCATGGATGCCCATGGTTGAACCCATTCGTTCAACCGCATCCCATTCGATATCGCTCAAATGGGAGTAGCCGTCACGCGTAGCGTGAAAGCTTTGGTCATCATCATCATCTAACATATTCATGTTAAATGTGAACGTGGTCCTTGAAAGACTGTGAAGTGCTACCAGGTGTAACGGGGCACCCTGAAGCTTGCACTGGTGACAGTACAAGCTACTTATTCTGATGACAGAATAAGGCGGTGCCTCGTAACTTCACGTACACTGGTACGTGCAGAGGAAGACGGTAAGAAGAAGCGAGTACTTGGTTAAATTAAAAAGTAGAACTGTATTTATAATAGTTAATGTCTGCAATAAATCACTATTTGTCTTCATCTAACTATGTCTAAATACAAATGTGTAAATCAACTATCTGCTCACCACTCATTGCGTGCATCTGTCGTGGCGCGTCTTCGTTGGTTGATATAATGGCCAATATCAACCAATTAGGAACTACTCGTAAGTGCTACAGAATATTCGTCCTTATGACAATATTCTGAGAACATGACTCTAATAGTTATATTCTATTTACAATTTCTTATAAATTGTTATGCAACGATTCACCCCATTACACAAAGGGGATAATACTTCCTTAAAAGTATCCATCTCGTATAATATCGGTCGAATATTGTCATGCGAGACAATATTCCTATTGACGCCGTTTGGTGTCAATATCATGTAACGGGCTACCCCGTTACAGCTTGGCTATCTCGATCGTGCTAAAATCGGTAGCCTCATACGTACAATAATATCTAACCACGGTGTCACCTTACAACAACGTTATTGCCCTTTCATGTGTGTCCTTACAACGTGACTGACAGCAAAGTGTAGTTTGGGATCGAAATTGGCCATCTCACAATCGCCGTCATGCCCCCAACCAGCCAATACACACGTTCTGAGCGGACCAGTCCTACATCAAACTATTCCAAGACACGCCGACAGAGAACCGTGTGGTCGCTCAAGCATCAGCTTCATTCCGCAATTGCACGCTCCGTTTGCTGCGCTGTCCCACGAGCACCGTGAATCGATACTAGCATGTACAAGTGGACGTGGTAGCGCTGTTCCTGCATTTTCTTTTTCGACCACTTGGCACACATGCTGCTTCCTGTCATGTTTGTGACACTAAGCAGGCCATTACAAGAGCGCCGCGACAATACATCTATGGACCCTGTATGTTTCGTGATGACTGGCGATTTTCGGCAAGCACCTCCACCAAGTCAGCGCTCATCCAGTTATTGCAATCCACACATTCACCATAGATCGGTCAAGATCAGACTAAGTCTATGCTCGCAGAACGAAGAACTTTTGCATACATTACGCAGTTGTCATATGCGACAACACGCATCTTGCTTCGCAGACATACGATATCGACTTCTCTTCTTCTACTTCTCTCCGTACTCATTTGACAATCAGTCTCGTGTCCCACCGATGCCGCTTCTTAGCTCGATGTGTCTCCTTGTCTCCGCCTCAAGACCCCATTACTCTGCACTATTGCCGTGCTGAACGAGCTTCTGGTGTCGTTGCGCCTTTTTGAAAATTCTCGCGAGTCACACACGCTGCTCGAGCTCATTTACAATCGGCCTGACCTTTAAGTAGCAGCCACACACATTGCCGCCCACTATCATGGAGCCATAGTGTACCAATGTATCGATCGTAAGCAAATTTACATCTTAGGTAAACCAGTGTGTTTGCCTCCACATCAGCGTCCATCTCGAACACGTGTCCGCATCGCTTTAGGTCGGCGGATTCCCGTCTGCATATTCACGTGAAACGTACACCCACTGAAGCTACCTGGTCTTTGGACACTCAATCTACTTGTACTCTCTAGTGGCAATTCTGTACAATCAGCAAAGCTGCTGCGCCCGGCTCTCCGAAGGGCTTCTCTCGCATCAAGTTTACAATTGCTTGCCGCCATTAAACGAACATCGCACGCCTACGTAGGTGACGGATGGCACATGCCGTAATGATGTCCAGCTAGCGCTTTGGCATGCTATCGATGTGGGAGTTGTTATCCACCAAACATAGACTGTCAAAGGCGGTACAGTGAACGAGTTTAACTATAGCGAATATGATCCATGACATAGAATGCACAAGGGACTGCTGTGCTTGAACAAGACCGAGCATAGGACAGGCGAAGGGTCGTAGACACTAATCGCGTCGGGTGAAGCTGGAACCAGACAGAAATCGAATGTTCATTGTTCACGTCCGTCAGCCGTTCCAATGTCCTGCACCTCGCGTGTTGCTATAATGGACGCACGCCCACTGATATTTTACGGCAACGATGACATCGGCAGCCAGGGAAAGGCGAAACGATGCGTCCGGTTAATTTACTGCAGAAGAGACGCGACTTGTCCGTAATCTCTCGTTAGCAGTGTGCGACATTTCGATGCTTTGGTCAGGCGATGCGTAACTTGCGCAGTGATGCTTTGCTTGATTGCAGCGAAAATTGCGTCATCAGAAGGACCGGAGCGGATTTTGCGCCATCAAAGTGAGTCTTGGGCTTAAACGAGTATCGGCAGTGCCAGGCGTGACTTTGAGGTCCACCCATGGGTTGAGTCGTCGTCGCTCTCAATTCGGCCCAATATTATACAGCTTCTATCGGCGAGTGGTAGCAAATGTCATGGCCACTACGAAGCTGGTCACCACGGCCACATATTTATGGAGCTATAGGACCAGGCCCGGACTGATCTGTACAGATAGTTTGTCGATAGTGTCGCGTCCGAGCTGAAGTAGCGCTAACAATAATCTTAGGCGTGTATACTTAAACAGAACCTATTTTACAAACCTGACTCATCACCATCAACCTTCTTTGTAGAAATTGATCTTCTTGACGATGATAGGCTCTTCTCCCAGGAAGGTTTTCACTCAGTCATAGCGACAGCATACTGCAGCGCGTCGCGTCTATTTTACGAAGCTACTTTTTGGCCATTAAGCTTTATGGCCATACGTGATCTGCGGTGGAAAATGGACCAGCAAAGACAGAGTTCGGACCGAAACGGGAACAGAATCAGACATTTCATTGGAACTGTAAACGGCACGATCTATGTGTCGCGCTTCGTCATGCATTCTTGCCTCGTTGCTTCCATTCACTTTGTACAAGTTAAGCCAGCTCATTTACAGCCAGCGAAGGGGTAAGAAGACACTGAAATGAAAGCCTCGTGGTTGATCTTCCTTAATGCATTTGGTTCGGCAAGTGCTTAGTTTCTTCGCGGCCTTCACTATGATTACTGCACGCGTCGTATGCGGACTGCATATTGCTTCTTCTGTATGACGCTATCAGGGGCTCGACTGCGGGTTCGGATCAGCTCGTACAAATCAAGTAGATAAACCTCCCTGCAAGAGAGTATCCAAGCCTCACTCGACTGTTGCCAAGGTCAACGTGTGTAGACACTCACACACCATCAGACTCCGTAAAGGAGGGTCGGACACTGTAACGTAACTCTATGAAGTAAACTTGCTCTCGAGAGAGCAGCCCAGGCTCACAAAGCGAGCTTCCTTCCACCCTTCGCAGCTGCCCCTCGTACGTACACACGTCCGTCTAGATGCACCCACACCTGCCCTCCTCCTCTCCTTCCCACTCGCACTAACGCTCTTGCTCGCCATTGTCTCTCTCTCTCTCTCTCTCTCTCTCTTGCTATTGTTCAATGCAGTTCAAATGGTGTCACCGCCGCAACCCCAACCGGTCGAAGCTGTCGCCTCTCCTCGCCACGGCAGCGCCGTGACGCGCTCCCCGTCAACTCCTGCTGCCCCTTCTGCCCCCTCTTCGTCTGTACCCGCCACGACGACGACCCCGGCCTCGACGGTCGATGGACGCCCCCCGCTGAAGAACCCTCTGGCTCTCGAGATCGCCTACAGCACCATCTCCCCCAAGGTCGAGCAGCCGCAGTACCCTCCCATGCACATCAAGCTCAACCTGATTGACCAAAACCCCTTCACATCGGCTCTTTGCAGCAACGGCGAGGCGACATCCTGTGAGAGTCCGTTCCCGATGACGCCGGGCGGGTACTCGTCCAGTGGCGGATGTGGCGGCGACTTGAGCAAGAAACAGCGGCACAATCTGCGCGAGCAGCGGCGGATCCTACGCATTAGCAACCAGTTCGACATCTTGCGCAACAAACTCGAGGCAGCAGGCTACTCGTCCTCGAAGAAGGACAAGTACAGCGTGCTGCATGCTACGCTCGAGTACATCTCGAACCTCGAGCGCAACCAACTCGGCTGCGTGCCGCCGCAGTCGCAGATGCCGCACCTGCTGCAGCACACGTCCCCTCATTCCGGCGGCGGCGTCCCCCGTCACCTCGTGTCTCCGTGCAGCGACTCGGCTGGGCGGTTGTCCATCACGGCGCCACCGCCCAGCCACGTTGACAGCAAAGGCCAAGTGTTTATGATCGATAGCATGCCGTCTCCAGTGCCAGCGTTGTCCATACCAGGCATGCATCCTCAGCCCTCGTATCCTCTGAACATGGACAACATGTACACTAGTGCTACGAGCGGCGCTGCAAACGCTGGTACGGCTGAGATCGATGGCTCATCGGCTTCTTACCGTGACGTCTTTGCCAGTAGCAGTATGCCCAGTCTTCTGGCTAAGCTTGACGGCACGATTGTCGAGGCGAACGCGCTATTTTTGGAGCTATGCTGCAAGAACATTGATGAGCTTCGCCTGCATAGTCTGTACACAATGTGTACGGCCATGGATACACCAAAGATGTACACCCTCGTGAGCAAGATCCTCTCGTGTGAGATGGCGTCAGCGCAGAGCAAGATGATGTGGCACTTTTCCAGCACTGGCGACCGAAAGGTGCGATACGTTTGGCTTGGTTTTCGTCGTTATCGATCAGCACTAACTCTCTGCTGGTTTTATAAATGACGCAGGTGTTCGTGTCAGTGTCAATGATCCACGATCGCATGCACAATCCGGCTAATTTGCACTGCAGTCTTCTGCCGCTGTCATGAGGCTATCGTCCGAAATGGGTTAGTTGGCGGTGGACTGAGGCGAGCTCTTGCGATAGCAGGAGTCTTTATGTATAATGTGCTTGCTCGCTCCCACGATCAGCTCGTGTGCACGTATCAACGGTGCGAGTGAAGCGGGCGACGGGAAGGTGTATCAACTGATGAGGCAGCTGACTGCTCGACAGTGAAAGTGGGCGACGGAGACGAGCGCATTACTCCTCGTCTTCGTCTCTGCATGTTTAGGGAATTATCGTTTTAACTTGAGCTGTACCATACGACGCCTCGCCCCAGCAATTGTAGTGGAGCCGGTATACCACCAACGAGGCACTCGCTATAAAAAGACAAAATGTGGACGCACTATTTATCATCGTCGACACGGTGTCGATCTTGCTCAAGAACGTCTCGCTAACGCTGTGACGACTGCTGAAGACCCGTCGTGTTTGACTTTCGTCTTTCAAGGCGTATATGGACCATGGCTTTCCGAAGAGGAGTCATCATCACCATCACCCAAGCCTTGAGGGGTCTCGAACAAATGGCTCGTTGCTCGCCAAACTCCCGCTGCGGCAAATGCGCCGGCACAAGCGAGTAACCATCGCCGTTGTCTCAGATCGTGTCGCGGCACCTTCATCCGCTGTGACAGCAATGGACACTTACGACTGATGAACCATGTGACTGGATGGACGTGATAGGACCGCACCTCGTTGAGAAAGTAGCCTCCGACGCCGAGCAGTGTGACAGACCCAGTAAGACGACAGCTGTCAATGCGGTTAGCAAGCATTGAATTGAGTGGGTTTGCAGCAGCAAAGAGGTGAACTAGGCATGGGACTTACCCGAGGCAGTCGATCTCTGACTTTTGTGCCGCCATTAAACCAGAGAAATGCTGAACGGCTGGGCTCGTTTTTATTCGGCTGGGTCATTCTGATTCGTTATCAGAAGTAGCTCAGAAATACGCCCAATTTCGTCAGGAGTAGATCTTGTAACGGGGTGAAATGTTACATAACAATTTATTAGAAATTGTTGATAGAATATAACTACAAGAGTTATATTCTCAGAATTTTGTCATAAGGACAAATATTCTGCAGCACTTACGAGTAGTTCCTAATTGGTTGATATAGGCCATTATATCAACCAACGAAGACGCGCCACGACAGACGCACGCAATGGGTGGTGAGCAGATAGTTGATGTACACATCTGTATTCAGACATAGTTAGATGAGGATCAATAGTGATTTATTAACAGACACTAACTATGATAGATGCAGTTCTACGTTTTACTTTAACCAAGTACTCGCTTCTTCTTACCATCTTCCTCTGCACGTACCAGTGTACGTGAAGTTACGAGGCACCGCCTTATTCTGTCATCGGAAAAAGTAGCTTGTACTGTCACCAGTACAAGCCTCAGGGTGCCCCACTACACCTGGTAGCACTTCGTAGTCCGTCCAAGGACCACGTTCGCATCTAACATGAATATACTAGATGATGAAGATGACCAAAGCTTTCACGCTACGCGTGACGGCTATTCCCATTTGAGCAATGACGAACGGGATGCGGTTGAACGGATGGGTTCAACCATGGGCATCCATGCTGTTAGCGTCATGCTAGAGGCTCTCAATAGAGATGCCCAACATGCTACTATCGCCAAGTTCATTCAAAATGAACTTGACGCTGAACACGAGAAAGTAGCCTTGCTTCACCAACAAGGTTCTCAACAATCAGATTTTTTGAGAGAACAGGGTGCTCAACAGTTTGAACTGTTGAGACAGCAGCAGGCTGCTGCTGGTAGGTTGATGCACTCGCGTCGACCCGAGACCTTGAAGATTGACATCACTAAGTATAGGGGAGTCGAAGAGGACTCTCTCTTGAGATGGTTTGTCGAATTAGACGACGCCATAAGGGTGCGTCGCATCGACGATGGGGAAATGCAAGTTGCATTTATACAATCAAATCTGGCAGGATGTGCCAAGACTTGGGCTTTGGGGCTCAAGTTGCACGGTCCAGATGCGTTTGCATCGTTAGAAGTCTTCAAGTCGCGGCTCAGACAAACGTTTGAAGCGACTAGGGCTGAGTTCAGAGCTCGAACTAAAATCTCGAAGATCAGACAAGGTAAGTGTGATGTGCACGCTTACGCGCAACATATAAGACTCCTCACGAGTTGTATAAGTTCCAATCCGGTGGATGAACACACGTTGGTTTCGGTGTTCATGCAGGGTCTTGCGGATGGTCCCGTCAAGACTCACCTGTTCCGACTTGAACTAAATTCACTAGAACAAGCCATTTCCTTTGCGGATTTAGCGATATGGTCGTACCCGCGCCTTGGGCCATTCCTCGGCCAACGGTGGTCATCATGTCCTGTCTTTGGGAGTGATGCGGTGCTTAAGAAAACTACACTCATGAGCGTAGTGCTCAATCTTCTACCAGCGATGGCATCTTGCCGTTTGCTTGTGACATAGAGAGCACCAGTTCTCGCTCTCGATGTAATAGAGGTCCATTGGTTCGGGACCTCCTGTTTCCTGTCGTCTCGTCGGACAATAGCTTGACGAGTTTGCCTGAGACTGTCTCAGGCTGAAGTCTTCTTGTTCCGCATACGCTATCGCCTTTTCCAGCGTATGGAAGTCATCTCGGAACATGTAGGCCTTCACCTGTCCATCTACAAGGCCGTAGATGAACACGTTGATGAGCGTGTGCTCATCAATAAGGTTCTCCGTAACGCTACTCGCAAGGTGGCGCAGGTGCTGTGCGTAATCGTGCACGTCACGCTTACCTTGCTTTAGCCTCAAGAGTGTAGAGCGTGCTTTGAACTCGGTTCTCGGCGGCTCAAACGTCTCTTTGAGCCGAGACTTCAAGGTCTGTAACGACTCAAACACGTTTGGGTCATCAAGCTTGAGCCCTAAGGCCCAAGTCATTGCTCGTCCTGTCAAATTTGATAGGGCGAAGGTGACATGCACCTCGTTACCCTCGATGTGACGGACCCTTATGGCGTCGTCTTACTCGACGAACCATCCTAACGGGGAATCTTCATCGGTTCCCTTGTACCTTCAGATATCGATCTTTAAGATTTCAGGTCGACGCGTGTGCGTCGGTCCGCCCATCGATTGATGAGAGCCTTGCTGCTGTAGCAAGGCTACCTTCTGTCTTTCGATGGCAAGTTCCCCTTGTAGGAACTTGTTGATAGCAGCATGTTGCTGGTCTCTGTTTACAGACTCCGACATGCCACTAATGGCGGTTTCGCCCATGAGCACAATCATGCTGCCGACTACCTCCCATTTTAAGTCACTCAGATGGGAGTAGCCTTCACGTGTGACGTGAAAGCTGTCGTCTTCCACGTCCATCATGTTCACGTTGGACGGACAATAAGTAGTCGTTGGACGGACACTAAGTAGTCATTGTACGGAGTACAAAGTGCTATCAGGTGTAACGGGGCACCCTTTGTCTGGGTTGTCACGAAACTTTACGTACACTAGTACGTGCAGAGGAAGCTATCTACTTAAACGACTCGTTTAAGTAAAGGGTAAAAAGAGAACTGCATTTAATACAGTTAATCGATTAATGTAGATCTATTCTTTACTATATTAAATTACGTCGTCGTATGACGACAACCTGCTTACCACTCATTACGCGCGTCTTGCAGCATTTGGTGGCAATCTGTGGTTGATATTTCTTTATCAACTCATCTTGGAGCAGCACATGAATATTATCCTACAAGGGGATAATTTTTTTGCAATAATATCCATATCGGATGATATTAATAAGGCATTGACACGCTAGACAATATTCCTATTGACACCGTTTGGTGTCAATTTCATGTAACGGGCCACCCCGTTACACTACCCTTCGACATCACTCTGAAGACTCGCTTCCTGCCTGTCGGTAACTGCAAGTTTTTTCACCCATCTTTGCAGCTCCTTCATCTGTCGACTGCCCTCTTGTGTGCCTACAAACAGTCGCCGACACCAACTTGATCTGGCATGTCGTGCCGCACATCGTGACTGCTCAACCTGATCTTAAACACTTAGTTCATGCGGAACCCCTCTTTACTCGAGACGAAGCTGTTCTTGGCATCGTGATATAGACACGACAAGGAGAATGTGGCACATCCAATTGCATCGTAGACGGCAGAGGTGACTAGGCCGTACTTTCGGGTCTTTTCTCAGAACGGGTAATGTTGCGCGTACTAATAAACGCACTTATGTTAATGCTCATTGGATCGGAGTTCAGCCAGAAAGTAAGGAGGGTAGTAGGGTGGTGCACAGGCAAGTAAGTCAAGAGTAATTGTAATTCGAGTATTCAAGATCTGTAACGGGGCACCCTGAAGCTTGTACTGATGACAGTACAAGCTACTTGTTCCGATGACAGCATAAGGCGGTGCCGCGTACTTCGAGTACACTGGTACGTGTAGAGGAAGACGGTAAGAAGAAGCGAGTACTTAGCTTAAGTAAAAAGTAGGACTGTATTTAGTATAGTTAGTGTCTGTTAATAAATCACTATTTATCTTCATCTAACTATGTCTGAATACAGATGTGTACATCCACTATCTGCTCACCACTCATTGCGCGCGTCTGTCGTGGCGCATCTTCGTTGGTTGATATAATGGCCTACATCAACCAATTAGGAACTACTCGTAAGTGCTACAGAATATTTGTCCTTATGACAAAATTCTGAGAATATAACTCTTGTAGTTATATTCTATCAACAGTTTCTTATAAATTGTTATGTAACGACTCACCCCGTTACATCACCCCCCCTAACCATCAGTCACTTTAGTGACTGATTGACTAAATTGGTACTCGTCCCAAATCATTTGGGACAGGGTTTGCACATTGGTGGTCCGCGTCCACTTTCCAACAATTCATCGCATGGTTATAAAGTCCATGCGGTGCCCGAACAAGGCCGCTAAGAGCGCGTCTACACGTCTCTGTGCAGACGCTGAAGCAGAAACCGCTGCAACCGATGTGTCATCGGTTGCTAAAGCGTCTAAGTCTGTGTTACCTGGTGATGTAGACGCTCGTTATATAGACACTCATGTCTTCACAGAGTATGAGCTCGGTGTCTCATACTCTCCTGATACGGAAGAGGGATCCGTATCGAAGGCGGTTGAAACCAAGCAGACTGCCAAGCGTGGAATGGATGATGCTACGCGTCGCAGCATCTTTGGTTCATCCGATGAATCAGATGAACCATCGCCGAAGCGAAGGCGCTCGAGGTCGCGAGACTCGGGCGCTAACAGTGGTGTCGGTTCTCCTATGGACACCACTTCGCAACGAGGTGCCAGTACTTCTGTAGGCACATAGCAGGAAGAGCGGGACCGCAATGTATTGCGTCTCGCTCCTGAGAAGAAGGCATGGATGCCTTCAAAATCTGTCATGGATCACTTGTCGGCTACGATGAGTGATCGTTATCGAACACGGTTGTTCGATTCGTCAAGGATCCATCACCTTGACCCCAGCGCAAAAAACTATCGCGCTAAGAATGAGTTCTTCATCAATGCTTTCTTTAGACATCGATGGTACAGTGGGAATCACAAGCGTGATGGTCCCTCACTACTTCAAGCGTGGAACGCCCACATCCATAACCTTGAGGATGTAGGTCGTGACGCTTGGAACGACAAACTTATCAAAGATCGTGGTAAGTTTGAAAAGCGGACCCCGACAGGTGCACGCTACAAGCTGCATCGTCTGTCTAGGGAGAAAGGGTTACCTTGTCTTTCCTGGGGAGACTCGTGCCCATGTTGTGTGAATAACCCAGCGCGCGCACCCAAGGAGGCTTACCTGCCTTATAGCCCGTGGTGGCGCGTACGTATCTTGACTGAAATGTACGAAGGGATTGACAACCTGAAATCCCTTTACGACCGTGCCGGGAAGACTTTCTCCGGCGGTCCTTCTGCGACACAGGATGTGCCGCGTCGTACTGCTCAACCAGACCCAGTACGTCAATCATCAGTTGGGAGTGGGCTTCCAAGCATCCCAGGACGGGGGATAACCGCGCCATCGGATAGTGATGAAGTATGTCTCAATTTGAAGATAGAAGCGACAAGTCTAATGTCACTTCGCGCCCTTAATGACTGTGGGGCGTCAAACAGTTTAATTCGCCGCCAGTCGCTAGAAGATAGTAGACTCAACGATGTTGAGCGAGAGTTCCCTTCAACGAGGATGAAGGTGTGTCTATCTATAGGCGTGTCCGTAACAGTGAACAAACGTGTAGCGGGAATCCACTACACGCTAGAAGGAAAGCAGTACGATGATGACTTTATCGTGCTAGATTTGGATGACAAATTTGATGTCATCCTCGATCTGTCATAGCTTGGAATGAACCAGTTATGGATCAGCTGGCAGTATCGATATGTGAAGATGCCTGCCGTTTGTTCATCAGATGACCATCTGATGAACATCTTGGAGCGTCCACAAGCGCGTGGATGTACTACGAGTGAGTGCGATGGCCTCACTTGTGGTAAGGTCGCTAGTATGACTGCACTAGATCACAGTGTAGAAGGCCTCTAAACTGTGAAACCAGCTTCCGGCACCTGTGTGGAGACACAGGCTGCGCCGAAGGTCCACCACTCGAAGAGATCGAGTGGGCTGGAACACGGATGCACATTAAGAAGGGTGCATCCTAGAAGAAAGATTAGTGTTGTTCAGGATGGACAACTCGTTAGATCAAGATCGACTATCAGAGAGTCGATCGTAGAGCAAGCCCGCTCGACTGAAAGAGAGCCGATCGAAGAGGACGTGACCGTGATAGTACACGTAACGGAAGAAATATCTAGCGTTCCTGAGAGTGACAACTTCCGAGAGCGTTATGTTGAGGGTGAGGATCCCCAACCACCAACGGATGTGTTTTACCAGGAAAACACCGACATAGTGAATGTTTTGGTGAACGACGGATTAAGTTTAGGCGCTTATACACCTGATCTGGTTACACGTCCGAAGTCAGCTTCTGAGTTAATCAAGTTGCCAACGCTAGAATCTAAAATATTCTTGCGATATCTATGTAGTGACAAGATCAAGCAGATCTGCGTACTCGTCACAGAGGATGAGTACATCGCCGATATTCGGTCGGCACAATTGTTTGCTGAGAACGAACGGGTTCTCAGAAGCTCATCTATGGACTAGAGTGTCCTCAATGAGAAGACTCGGATTGAGCGATACACGTCTCAATCTTGGGAGTCTCTAAAGACAAATCCTTTGTATAAGGATTTATTTCAATTCAGGGATGTTTTCCCGAAATCCGTGCCAGGCGAGCTGCCCAAGGACCAAGGCACTCGGCATGAGATGTAACTGAAACCTGGTTCGAAGTACTGTGTCATGAAGCACTGGCCACTGCCTCGTGAACAGGTCACAGCGACAGGCAAATTCTTTGCCGATCGATTAGCGGCTGGTCATGTGAGGGAATCAACATCCTCACACAGCTCTCCGACCTTCTGTGTGCTAAAAGCAACAGGAGGGTGGCGGATAGTGCATGCATTTAACAAGTTGAATGCTGCAACGGTACCGGCTCGAACGCCGATCCCAAGAAATGATGTCATCATAGATGGTATGGCAAAGAGTACCATCTTTTCGTCCATGGATTGGATGGATGAATTCTTCTAGATCCTCATGCGTGAACGGGATTTCCCTTACACAGCAGTGAACACCCCCAGTGGTATACTCTGGTAGTGGCTAGTGACCGACCCCAGTGGCCGAGTGGTAGACCACTGGAACTGGGACCGGGAGGTGCCTGTATCGATACCCGGTGGGGATTAATTACAGAGCGCCGGAGACAGGCTAATAATGTAGCCGAGTAACCACCAAGGAGTGGCCGGTGCCGTCCGTAGGCCCTACAAGCCGAAAGCCCCATAGTGTAATGAAGGGTTCGGGTCCTGCAATGAGTTCAAACTGTGTTAGAGTACTCGCAGTTCACCCCAGGTTGACCTGAAGGACCGCACGACATAAATCTCTGGGAGTGGCTAGTGATTCCACAGGGGCTAAGTAACGCCCCTGGAACGTTCAACAGATGTGTTACGAATCTGCTGCGATCGGTGCGAAATCTCGCACCGAATTACTTCGACGATGACTTCGTCTATAGCCTGGCTATGGATGGAAAGACGGACGTGGAGGTTCATAAAATCCACGTCCGAATAGTTCTTACTCCAACGCGAGGTCATAAGTTGATCGCGAACCTCAAGAAGTGTACATTCGCAGCGAACGAAATTCCACTTCTTGGCTGTATCGTGGGTAAAAACGGTGTACGCCCTGATTTGGAAAAGATCAAGGCGATTAGCGACTGGCCTGTGCCAGTCGACGTCAAGAACTTCAAAAGTTCCTTGTCTTGGCAGCGCATTTCACAAATACTAGCGCAA